CATAACTTTAAGAGTGGCTAGGTTAAGAGACATGTGCATCGACCTTGGGCCGGATATTTCTGACATTTCACCTCAGAAGAGGAAAAAGCCATTCATCGCACGACTCACACAATTAGTCCAGGAGTGTACCTGTTCTTCCAAATAACTGAGCAATGAACGTTTTACGATTAACTGGTCCGCCGATTAAAAAGCAGTGCTTGTATAATTTATAAGAAGGCGTTACTTGACAGTAGAGTCCTACATATCAGATTTCAGTCACTCGAGCTCACCAGAGGCGGATCCAGGATTAAGTCAAGGGGGGTTCGGAAAATTGTCCGAGGGCATGCTCTCCCAGGAGATTTTGAAAATTAGGTCTTCGGAAACATTCTTTTCAGCATTTTGAGGGAAAATGTAGGGGGGTTCCACTGAACCACCCGAACCACCCCTGGATCCGCCCCAGCTCACCACTGTTTGTGAACTTCCTTATCTTTGCGTTGGACGATTTTCAGCATATTCGAAACTGACGAGTGCAAGATAGGATAGGATAGGATAGGATAGGATAATTTATTTAATGTCAAAAATACACAGGGGGTGGTCTCCCAGTCCCCCCGAGCCAGAGGCTTATGATAAAAGTGTTGATAATATGAAAGAAAGCTAAAACTGTTAATAGCACTAATTAAATTAGAAGTAACGTCTATCTATAAAAATAAAATTCAACTTCGTTAAAAGTCTCTGGAAGGATAATGCGTCAGATGCATTGGCAACTGGTTCCGAATACGTGAGATTGTGTACGCACATGAGCCATGAAGGAATTTGGTATTATATGAGGTTTGTACTACGCAGAAGGCGCAGAAGTGATGCAAATGCTGAATCCATGTTCACCGGATGAGAAGTAGACGTAAACTAACGGCTTTGTGGCAAATTTAACCTGTAAAATGCAATTTAACTGTTGTGTGTAATTATATGCAGTATAGAGTGATTCCAAAAGTAGCAAAAGTCGAAAATTGTTTCTCCTGACTCCGTATAAAAAAATCAAGTCCAGTTTTAGACATTTTAATATGTTTTTAGTCATTTTAACGGCCAGTGAAGATATAACAGACTAAAACAGTCATTCGTGTCCAAAGCGTTATTATTATTATTTATTATTATGCATCTCATTATGGTGTCATAGTAATTTAACCGCAATTCGACTGGTGGTCATCTTTTGATAGTCAAAGGTCCCAAAGAAATAAAACCCAAATCGTAAAGAACCATCTTGCAAGGCTTCTTGGTAGTGTTATTGTAAACTTTGAGACACTACCACATATATTTTTTGCCAAGCTATTCTAGGCCAACCTTGCCCTAATTTCAAAAGGCCGAAGATGTCTTCTCTTAATAGGGACGTAACTCCTCCAAGAATAACATGAGACAAAAACTATCACTTTGTCTCGATAATACAAGTCCAACTCAATATTTCTCTAGCTAGAAAAGTACTTCCGTTACATTTTTGTTCGCATGACAAATGCCCGAAAAGTGCATAATTTTAGGATCGCGGTTGGTGAAATTTGAGCTATTTACCCCCGGAAATGTTAAAACAAATTATTCCCGTTGAAGTGCATATTTAAAAAATCTAACCCTATTTCCGTTTGTCTACTTGATAAGGCTACCCACAGGCAAAATATGAACCAAATCGAGTTTTGACCGTGTCCGCGACTTTTTGGAAAATCTATGATTTTTACTGACATTTGCTTTTAACCCCTCAGATAATCGAACTTCATTACTCTTCTCTAATAGACCGCTTTCATAAATGGCTGCCGTTTACATATTCTTTTGTTTAAATTTAAATTAACCCTTCTGGCCTCGCTTGAGATAATGTATTCTTTTGAATTTTGTACTGGAGAACGAGGCTAGTAGGGCTAATTTAAATTTAAACAAAAGAAGATTAATCCGGCAGCCATTTATGAAAGTGGTCTATTTAGTATCAGTCTGCTACTCATCAACCACTTCTCAACTCGTTTGAGGTCTTCTTGTAGATTTAATCTGATTATGTTGATAAGAGACCCAGTATAATAGATCACTGTATCATTGGGATACATCCTTATGGCTAAGTGCTGCGCAACATTGAGGCAGGTTGTTTATGTATATCACAAATTGCAAAGGTCCCAGTAAGGAACCTTGAGAAACACTGAAGTCTAGAGAAAGGCTGGGTGTTAATTCTTTTCCACATTGAACTTACTGCTAAAGAGTAATCTGAATTTGTTGCTCTTAACCAATTTTTCAAAACTGTTCATCAAGTAATTAACATTATTAAGATAAATGTAAGCTTTCAAATTGACGGAAGTTTTGGCATAGAAAAATAACATAAATATTGCATAAAGTTCCATCAATTAAACAAAGAAGGCCAAAAACAGAGTGTATATGATAGACACTGAACTACATAATTTGGATATATCAACAAAGTTGAAATGATAAATTGGCCACCGTAAGGATTAGAAAAGCTGACGTTTCGAGCGTTAGCCCTTCGTCGGAGCGAATGGGCTAACGCTCGAAACGTCAGCTTTTCTAATCCTTACGGTGGCCAATTTAACATTTCAACTTTGTTGATATATCCAAATTATTTCGTTACCCCCACCAACGCAGCCCCAAACAGTTTCTTTAGAAACTATCAACCTTTATTCACGGAACTACACAACTTAGAATTCTCAAAATAATAACAATAATCCTCACCCTATGTTCTGTACTGTCCTTTGCAAAAGGTCTAAATAACATCGGGTGAGGTAGATAGAGAATAGGTCGGCTCGTGAGTTCCTCCGGAAACATCCATCTGCTTGTCCCGCGAACTGCTGAACTTTTTATTAGTCTACAAACGTAAACCAAAACGATGCGTGGCCTGGTCTAAGCTTACAACCTGCAATCGCCCGCAACACAGTGATTTCACGGTTACGTCGCCATGTTAATTTCCGAAGTTTACAGTGCGGTCGGAAGATGACATCACTAAGATGATCGGAAAATGCTAATCATTCGGGTCTACTTCACCCTATGTTATCTAATGCCGACCCCGTGAAACCTTAGACGTGAAACTAATCTCGTACCCAGTTCCTACCGTATAACTGAAATGTTACTTGGCCGTGGAAGGTCTGAGAACAAGACTAGACGCGCACAGATCTAGCTGGATTTGATGTCATCACAACCAGGTGAAGAAGGCATACGAGTTAGATTGGATGTCTCCCTTTTGGTGAAACCGAAAGATATTTATAATAGACAAAATCAGGTAATGACCATTGCGAGTCTTCCATTCGTTGTTATTGGTCAGCAGCGTTTTCCCACGTTTTTAGAGGTTTGTTTTATTTAACTCTTAGTTCCTATTGGCTCATTACTTATGATAAGATTGGGCGTTATCATCACAATACTTTAGCTTTTGTTTTTTGACTGTTAAGTGGAAAACGTGTTAGGTATAACAGCACGAAGGAACTGACTGAATCAGTTTCAATAAATAATGCATCAAATTTGAAACATTTGATGGAATCATTCTCAAAAAGAACTCTTACATTGAACCACGACACTGACCACTTCTCAGTCTGTGTAAAACAATTCGCTGTCATCGACAACAGTCGTTGTGCAGAATACCCTAATTTGAGCTCGGATGAACCAAACACGATCCAGAGTTGACGATTGCATGGAAAAGATGCCACAAGACGAAAACTACCATTCTTTATTAATGGTTAGCTTAATTATACTTTGCCATCGTTTTAAATGTTATAGCTACGCGACGCTTGGCACTGATTTCAATTCTCATCACTGAAATGCAGAGTTTATGATCTCTAGCTGAAATATGTTTTTCTACTGAGCATGGAGCTGCCCATTTCGTCCATCCGTTAAAAGCAGTTCACCGGAATTAGTAATTTATTCGTAGGAATGCCTTCCCCCACGATTCTAAAGCTTTACTTTTCGAGTGTGAATCGTGTCATTACTCGGCTTTCTCGCCGGTCTTTATACTAGTAATGTGCACGACGAGCACTTATGCTAATCTTCCCCTTTGTTTTTACTCGCCCTATACCCTTTATTATATTCTGACGCTTGTTAACAGAACAATCAGGGTGATGTCCCACCGCTCAGTTAGTTAGTTAGTTATTAGTCTCATTACACTCTACCATCATTTGCCGAGTGCTCCCAATACTTCGGGCGTTCTACAACTTGGCCATGAGATACTCTAAGATACTCGTATGCAGGAAGTTTGTCGGCATGGACCTTGTTAAATGGTCTTTGCCACGAGTCTCTGACATAGCCCAATGGTAGAGTGTCCTAGTCATTCACTAACTAACATCGTCTTTGACCGGGATGAAAATTTACCTCGTTCAAAGTGTCCTCTCTGGCTTCTCTCCTTTGCCGAGGGAGGAAAAGACGAGGTTGCGCGCGATGTTCTCGTAGTGTGCAAGGAAATTGTCATCATACTATAGAGCGTTTGCACATGACGTCACAAATTTCGCGGGAAAGTTGAGTCGCCATGTTGGTGTTCCACATTTTTCAACATGGCGGGATATCCTCTCTCAGATTATGCGAACACACTCGATCCCCACATGAGAAAACGTTATTTAGAGAAGATTTCTTGTGTTGGAATCGATCCTCTCTTGTTATCAGACAAAAAATACGATCCAGAGTGCCTGCCTCTGGTCGAATCGATGGATTTATTGTTGTTTTTGGTGCTTGACACGAGTTATTACAGTAAGCTGAACACGTGGGACACGAAAAAACATTACTTTTCCGACGTTAGACCACTTCTTCCCTGTTTTGTTCCCACAGCTAATGACAAGGCAAAGGACCGTGATAACAAAAATATAAAATATTACACTATTGTCTTCTCAAAACCGTAAAATGTGCTCCAAATGTTTCTTGTCACAACACTCACAGCTGAGTATCATAGAACACCAACATGGCGGATGAAGTCGGTTACCATGACGATAAAGAAATTTGGTCACGTGAGTGAAAACGCTCTATACTTCGCTTCCTCCTACATGACACATCTACTGCCCACGTTGCAACCTGGGCACTTCGTTGGCGACGGCTTCGCACTAAAAGAAGCAGAGATGAGAACTTTCAATGATTATAAAGACGAGTTGCTCCACACACTCAACGAGCTCAGAGAAAATAACATTCTTTGTGATACGACCATTCGAGCTCAAGGCCAGGATTTTCCTGCCCATAGATGTGTTCTTTCAGCGGCAAGCTCTTACTTCCGGGCCATGTTTAGCAGTCATCTGAGAGAAAGGGAGAGCGGTCTTGTTGAGTTACAGGAGATAAAATCTGCCACATTCGGCGATGTTATTTGGTTTATTTACACTGGCGAGGTGAGCACTACTTTTGCTAGCGCTCAAGACTTAGTAATGGCCGCCGACTATTTGATCATGCCAAGTTTAAAAGAGAAAGCTGCTGTATTCCTTAAGAGTAAATTAGATGCTTCCAATTGCATGGCGTTAGAATCATTTGCCTCTCGGTATAACTGTGAAACGCTAAAGCAAGCGGCAGTTACCTACAAAGTTAATAATTTTGTAAGGGTGACGCGATCGGAAGACTTTAGAAAGCTGGATGTAAATAAAGTTAAGGACCTGATTTGTATGGATGAGATAAACGTGGCTGAGGAAGAGGAAGTATATGAAGCAACGATGGCCTGGGTAAAACATGATCTACCATCTAGGGAATGTTTACTCCCAGAACTGTTGGAATGTGTAAGATGGTTTTCAATGTCCAAGTACAGTATGCGAAAGATTCTCCATGAAGAGTTGATTAGGAAGAACCTAACTTGTACTAGGTTAGTAGTGGATGCATTAGACCTTGTTGTATTTCCAGCTTGCTCTCAAGATTCTTCACAAAGGTCGCGCTTGTCTTTAGATGGTTATGAAAATGTAGTGATCCTCACTGGCACAGAAGTTGATTTCCCAGAGGAAACTTCTGACTGCTTTGTGCCTGCTTCCAATACCTGGGTGTCGTTACCCAACATACCTATACCACATGTTCATCATGGTGCTGCAGTTTGTGGTGGCGTCTTATACGTGATGGGTGGGAGCGAATCAGCCCCCATCTGTTGCTTTAACCCTAAAAAGAATGAGTGGAACACACTTGACCTGATGTCGCGCCGAAAAGGCTGTACAGTCACATCACTTAATGAAGAGCTCTATGTAATTGGTGGAGAGTATTCATGGCGAGATGTTCAAATTTACAATCCAGTTCTTAACAAGTGGAGACAAGGAGGTTCAATGGAAACTTCTCGTGCTGAACACAGTGCAGTAGTACTGCAAGGACATATTTTTGTCTTTGCTGGTCACAATGGTGTGGATTGTTTAAACAGTGCAGAACGTTACAATCCATTAACTGACCAATGGACTGAGATTTCAAGTATGTCCAATGTCCGAAGGTCAGCTGCCGCAGTGGAAGTTGGCACAAAAGTTTTTGTGTTTGGAGGATATGCTGACAATGTCTTGGGGGCTATTGAACCCTCCTGTGAAATATTTGATTCAAGCACAAATCAATGGAGCCTGGAACCTAGTCTTAGACTTCCTCGAGCAGGAAGTGGTATTGTGAGTATTGGAGACACTGTTTATGTGTTTGGAGGAGAGGGTGTTGTTTATGATGATGAAGAAGAATACCTGAAGGAAGACCTGGGTGATGTGCAGTGCTTTGACATAGGTACAAATAGATGGCACAGGGTATCGTTTATACCAAGTGGGGAATGCTCATTTCTGCAAGCATCATTACTTAAGGTGCCAAAAAAGTTTATCAATGCCTTGTCAGTGGAAGGATCTCATGATTAGTGGCTGAGGCATTTGCTTAGATTATTATCAATAATGGAAAAAAATGAACTGTGATCTTAATACGAGTGAAATGGTTTATTCTGAGCAATTTAATGTGTGAGAAGCCTACAGACCTCAAACTTGAGGGCTTCTCATTTTGAATTATTGATTTTTTTGACTGCTTTTGTGCTTGATCATTCCTGATCATTTTCTTTTAAATGTAATTATATTTTATAATTATTTGTAGTGCTATACCATGAGCTGTTGGTATAGCTGTACCTATAAAATGTTTGCCATGTTGCTGGGAGGTTGGAGAAGAAATACATCAATTGAACTTTGACATTCAGTTGAACTTGTCAGATGCTTGCAAAAGTTGTTTATCTTGAATACAAACAAGAAAACTCTTAGTCATGCATGAGCAATTTGTAAGCAAAAAATTAAGTTTTGAGGTTTTAGATCTAGGGTGTGTTTTCTTTCTGTACTGTATGCATACAAGAATATGGACAAGTTTATGTCCAGTATAGATTAGCATCAGTGCAAGCACAAATGCTTAAAGCAGTGAGTAAGATGTCTCCATCTTGGTGAAACCAGAGATGGGATTACTTTTGTAAAAAAAGATTGTACTTGTTCATTGTGGTAAAGGACAGTGATAATAAAGTATCATCGTTTGTCTCATGGTCTTTGCAGTTGAAATGTCACAATTCATATCATAAGGGACCACATCGTAAACAAACAATATTTTCTTATCATTGATGTGATTACTCTTTCACTGATAAAAAAAAAAACCATTTAGTGACAAGACTAGGCAATATTTGCATTGTGACTGGGTAGAATCCTCTCAAAACTAGCACCAAGCTATTAAAGAATGGCTTTGATTGGAGGATGTTCATGTCTTTGGAACAAGTTTTGTGTGTACCTCTCCATTTCTTGTCAGAAAGTAACATAACCTTAACCTAACACAGAGTTCACCCTACATTTACAAATGAACATTTATTTGCACATTGTTCAAGATTTCTTCAACTTTTGATTCTCCTCTGGGATCCATGTGCCTCTAAGAAACATCACAATATTCAGAAGTCAAAGTACTGATCCATATTTGTCATGCTCCATTAGCAGCCAGGGGATTAGCAGTGTCAGTTGCCATACTCGTAACCAATCAGGAGCACAGCAAAAAGTTAAAACAAGAACCAATGGTGATTTGGTTTACCAATGGTGTTTTCCCACACTTTTTGTGGTTTTCCTGTTTCGATTTGAGTTCTCATTGGCTAATGGTGACCATATATTAAGCAATTATTGGATGAGGTCGAGTATGATATCATGAATTATCAATGCTGCGGTCTGAGTTATCTGCCAAAGCCAAGGGCTGAGGCAGGTAACACAGACAAGGTTTGATAATTCATGATATAATTAGCCCACAGTGCAGGCGTCTTATTAGGATGAGTTAATGTTAAGAAGTACACGATCATTTATTCAACCAGCTGTGTTTAAATTGACTGTCATTCACCCCCTTAGTACAAATTTCTTTCTCTCCCCAGCCTTCCACTGCCATTAAAATAAAAAATGGCAGTCACATTTAGCTAAGAAAATACTCAGCACTCGCTCGCCCAAATTACACCTGCTCCACAGGCTATGACATCATGGGAAAAAGGCATTCAATAATTGTTTTATTATACATTTTTTTAAACAATCTGCAAGAGAAGACACCACTCTGAGTTTGCGAGTTTGAGGAAACTACACAGGAAAGGGGCTTGGAAACTAGGCAGACTTTGAACTCAACATGATAACCCAATATTTGCTGCAGATATACCTTGTTTATTGACCGTTGTATGCTCTCGACCAATCAGAGTTTTTATGGTATGTCTAATGTAAAATGATATATCTTAACTTGTAGTATCTCTACCCTTTAAGATGCCTAAAGCCTCAAAAATCTGCCCCTTTCTGACAAAGCTTAGTCCACTAAAAAAATTTTTCAAAGGGTTAATCACAACTCAGTGTTCGCGACTGAGGGCGTTGCGTGACATTCGTGATGGAATCTGCTTGTGACACGGTAAGAACATTTTATTTTTTTCTCCTCATTTTCCCACCTTGAATCGACTCGATTTTCCTTCAGCTTCTTGTCAATTCTCTGTGCGTCAGGAATCTTTCCGATCTGTGTATCTCGGATCTTTGGAAAGCGTTAGTAGATATTCCGACAGTAATTCTTGATACAAACTTGCAATGTACCACACCGGAAAATACTGCAAAGTTATCAGGCCATAGACATTCCATTGTCGATTACTATAATCCCAAGGACAAGCATTAAAATGTCTGAGCACTACACCCCAACTAAACTCCCACAGATACACCCAAAGGACGTACAGAACACCTCGAACAGGCATAGGTAAGTACCACTTGCCTTTCCAACTCAAGTACATTTGTTCGACTACAAAGCTTCCAAATCCATACTGGAAAAATGACCATAACGAAGAGTGTCCGCGGAATTTCCAGTCACGGAAGCTCGATTCGACAAAATTAAACAACGATGTGAACACTATTTCATCGAAAAACCCGTGGAGGCCGTAAAGGAAAATTCGTAACCAAACGTTAACCGCCATAGTGTTGGAATCCTCTCCACTACCCGCTGGGGGTTTTGAAGGGTCATGTAATTTCCAGTCCCTTTCTCAGTACCCAATATGGCGACGTTTGGAAGAAGTTGTGGTCCTTTTAACACAAATCATGGAAACCAGCTGTTTTAGTTTTGACGATGGCAACTTGGCCTGAAGCAAACCAAAAACGTACTCATGCACGGTGAGAGCATACAGAGATCAACTTTCTTTATTCCTCATTTCGTGCTCGAAGTTTCGAGCTCTCGACTTAGGTCCACTTTCAGTTTTAATACTAATTTACTAAAACCTAAGAAATAACTAATCTAGTGATCGGGTTCATTCACCCATAAAATAACTTGACTGTTAGGTGACATAAAAAAGCATTGTTGGTGCCGTAATGACTTGATTCAATTCAGCTCCCCTTCTCCAATCAAGGATGCTCCCTCTCAAATAATTACCCCTTCAACTATTTTTCCTCTGAGCGGTATAAATACCCGTATTTGACAATTTTCCCCCACTAAGCAAATTACCATAAAGAATAAGCAACCCCCTACAAATTAATCCTCCTATTCTGTACATCAAGCTCAGGTCTTGGTGAGAAAATTAAGAAAGGTAATTTTTTCAGTTTCCTTTAATTACTCTCAATATGAGGCACATCTTGATTAAGTTTTGTAAAACCAAAGCCAAATTAATTGCAACAACCAATCAGAGCCAAGTATAAAGAACACATGGAGCCAATCATATCGCAAAGTAAAAACAAAGAAACTGCTTGAGGTGTAGGAAAACATTAGAAGAGGCAATTGGTTTAAGTTTTGAGTCTGATTGGTTGAGAAGATGGGACAGTTTATCTTATTATCTTCAACATTGTCTTTAGCAAGGTGCAAGTTAAAGGAAAGAGAGTGGAAACATATGAACAATGATCAGCTGAAATTATTAAATCCCTGGTGTTGTGATAAGTTAATTTAAGTGAAAGTATTGTCTCATTACAGAAATGCAACCCTTGAGTTACTATCAGATGGTAGAAGAAGACACTCTAGAGGCTCTCAAGCAAGCAGTAGGCATGCAGAATTTGACAATTTAGGTGTCTCTGTGGAATGCAATGGACAAGCCATGAGTGATGTGTCATCCTTTCACACAGAATCATTGTATAGTCAACATGCTGATAATTTGCAAGATTCTGTCAGTTTACCCTCACACTTTTCATCAGAAGTTGTATGTTGTTCCCTTTTTTTTGATAAATATTTTGTATTTATCAAGGAAATTTTTTCTCATGGTTATTTGGCAAACATAGACCAACCCAGAAGTTATTTATTCTGACCTCAGTGCCTCATTTGCATTTTTTAGCCTAATAAGCAGATGGCATCCATTGCAATTTGGCCTGTTGACACTTAATAAAGTTGTGGCATTGATGGTCACCAGAAATGTCACCAACTGAGGATTAAAAGTGTTCTTTTTATTATATGCCATTAACTCAATTAAATGAAGATTGCTATTTTGGCTGGAATCCAACTTATTAATCTCATGTTTTGTGAAAAGCATCAAGCATATAGTTAAATTGTCCATGTTATTTCTGAAAACCGTTAGTGCTGTAACACTATATACAAACTGAAGCCTCATTCAAATATTTTTTTTTCTACTTTTAATCTTTGCCTGCATGTATCCCAAAGACATACCACAGAAGCTACCCCAACATAACCATTGGCTGTGTCAGCATTGTTGTTGCATTTTTTCTCTTCATCACTGGTGGAGTTCTGATCACAGTTTTTAAACACAAAAATGAACAGAAAGGCAAGTGAGACACTTTAATGGACATCCAGACATAATCAAATGCAGATCATTAAAAAATCTCTACATAGAGCAGAGGAGGCACTAAATGTTTTCATGCATGTTAGAGGCTGGGGCTGCCTATTGGCATGCAGAATAGTGATTGAATGTCTTTTTTCACTGTCTGCCTTTTGGATTACCATATTTCCTCTGGTAAGAGCCCATGCTTTTAATAAGTGCCCCCCCCCCTGAGTAAGCACCCACCCCCAGGCCATAAAATCAAACAAGCTCCCCCTTCCTCACTCATGGTCTTGAATAGTAGAGACACAGGGAAAACCCATTCTATTGCCACATATAAGTTTTAACTTTTTAAGCTTCAACCACAGCAGAATCAACACAGGTTGTACACTAATCAATTTATAAAGGGATTAAGCATAACCGTTATTCATCAATGCTTAAATTTTTCTCTTCAGCCATCAAGATGGCTTGTGAAGTGTTGATGGCAGCAGGGCTCTTTGGATTCACTGGTATGATGACACCTGTCTTTATGTGTTCTTATTTGACATATTTTCGCTGCCTTTTTCTTACCCTGCCATCTGTTGGTATTTCTGTTGTAACTGATATTGCCCAGAGCAATGATTTACTGAAAGAAGGAATTGTTAGTTAGTATCAAAGCAGGGGGAATAGAGCATGTGATGCAAGTTCAGAAAACTTGTCCTTTTTCAAAAATCTTTTTGGCTGTTCTTCATTCATTTTCCTTTCCAAATCAGACATTTTGCCATTTGTAGGAACCTATTGTACGCTTTGTTAAAGTAGGAACTCAGTTCTCTTGTGATATTTTGTCAAAGTTCTACACCCTAACATCAGGATGCATATTCTCCATACTGTTCTCTGTACATTTCCTAAGGTGCAGATTGAGAGAATTTGTCTAACAATCAAGACTCTCTATAGTTTGTGATCATTTCCTTTATTCCCATGACCTTAATATGTGTTTCAGGGTTGATATTGAAGAAATTAGATGGTAGCAGCTCCTAGGGATCAAAGAGTTAACAATGAACTTATATTTAATACATTTTGTATTTTACTCTGTTGCTTTAGGTGGAGTAACCAACTGGGTTGGACTTAAACTGATATTCAACAGGATTCCAGGGTTGTTTTTCAGGTATGTGACCCTTATTGTTGGCCTCTGAGGGGGAATGTTTATTATTATTAAAAACTGGAGCATTGGATAATGCAATTCAAGACTTTTTATTGGCTTAGCCATTATGGTATGTGAGCCAATATTCCATAATCTACAAATATGGAAAGCGTTCGTGTCAGCTTGAAATTAAAAGGGAGCTAAAAATTTAATAATTTAATTTAATGTTTTTAATAAAACAGTTATTCCACTCGCGCTTGTTGGATATGAGATGATTATAGCCAACTTGGCGCTATGCGCCTCGTTGGCTATCTATCATCTCATATCCAACGCGCCCTCTTGGAATAATTGTTAATTACCTTTTGTTCTGTGGTGCTGTTGTGGCTTTAACCCTTTGAGAGGCAGTCTCTGTTAGTGATGTGATGCATTTCATTTCAAAAATTCGATTTCTTTTAAACTTCACCCATGAATCTGTCTTAGTCTTAAAGTAATTGAAACCACCTTGGTTTTTTGAAATATTATGAAATAGTATTTTTCAGAGGGAAGATTGCTTCAGCACTCAAAGGCTCCTTTTTAACAGTGCCAATCTTCAAAAATGGCACAAACTGACTTACTTGTCTTTCCACAAAACTCTTGTTTGGGAATGTAGAGGAGGATGGAAAAATGAAATTATTTCAGCAAACTTCTTGGTCTTTTCAAAGCTATCATACTTCAGACATTTTCAAATTAGATTTATCCATCAACACTGGTCTCTTAAAGAAGGGTATTGCTGGGGTCAGTGGCCTTGAAGAGGTTGTCGCAATTTTTCATGGCCAGGCCACTTTTATATTTTCATTTGCCTTGTATGCAGCTTTGCATTAAATTAGTAAACTAAGCCTGTCATTGGTATCACATAGGTAGTTATTATATTTCTTATTTGAAGTCTTCTCTCCCTTTTTTGTAGTGGAGCCATTTCTAAGAATTTTGTCACAGCCAGGAAACTGATGGCTAATTTTATTTTGGAGGAATTTTTCAGTCCTTCACAAGTAAGAACTTATGTTAAGGACAAGAAGAGGTCATATCTGACAGCAGAACACATAGGTAAATAAAGATGTAGTTTATGAGAGTTAAATAAAATTAGCATAACATTGTTTTAAGTTGTTCACCTCTAGGTTACTATGGAATGATTTCCACTCATTTTCCTTTTTTTTAGAACTTATCGAAATTAGTAAAGTGACACAACAATAATACTGGAGTTTCTTTTCTGCTTAAGAATAAGACAATGAACCAGAACTAGTTAATTTTGATATGTGTAGTGTAAGTCTAGCTCAGTCATGCCTTGGAAAGTTTAGTTGCTGAATTTTTCTCAAATGTTCTGTCATATTATTTTATTTAATTTTTTTTCTTTCAAATAGATAATCAGCTAGAGAAATTGCTTGATTCCAGAAGGGCAGAAAATATGATTCATGAGCAATTGGATGTCTTGATGGGAACACCGGAGGGTAAGTTGACCTGTCCATTCAGCAGGTCCATTCATTGCTTCATTCAGCAGCAGATTTATTTGTTGTTTAGTGGATTGAATTTCTGACTGCCATTAGTAACAATAATCTCATCTGGTTAGAGACAAATTAGTCGGCTATTTGCAAAGGAGTTGAAGCAAGGCAAGGATCATTTATCTATCCATCCATCCATCCATCCATCCATCTATCCATCCATCCATAGGACATTTGTTTGATTGCTCGTTTACATATACATTCATTCATCCATTCATTCATTCCTTTTTTCATTCATTCTGTCAGTCACTCATACATGGAACACATTCTCTAAGTGCTCATTGTCTGGTTAAAACAGACCAGTATAACAGGCCCTTCCATTGTAGTGTAAAGGCAGGGGCAGATCTAGGGGGAGGGTGCAGGGGGTGGGTACCCCCCCTGAGATGACCTGCGGCTTTCTAATACAAGTGGTATTCTGCAAAAAAAAACTATGTGGTTTATTGGTGTTGAAGTAGAGTAAGAGACTAGGTTGAAGAAATTATGTTAAATGGCGTAAAAATGGTAGTAATTGGCACTGAAGTTTGGAGCATTAGTCCTACTCACTTTACGTCTGGTCACCAGTCAGTTACGCCATTCTTTAGTTGTGCACCCCCTCCTCAAAAAAATGCGGGATCCACCCCTGAAAAGTTATTGACTCAGTGCCATGTTATCTGGTTTTACTTGTAGGTCTCAGACTTCGTATGCTTGGTGTCACCAAAGCCAAACTGGCACCCCTTGTTAAGCCTCAATTGTTGAAGTTTAAAACACAAATTGTACCATTGGTAAGGAAAAGGGAAAGTAGACCTATGGTCTCTCATAATTCTTCATTTGCATTTAATC